GCCCCATACCCTGCGCAAATGGCCCTGCCGGATGCTGCTGGGGCCCCATAGGCTGCTCCCACGGCCCGGCCGGGCGCTGCAGGGGCCCCATCTGCTGTTGCGAGGGCCCTTCCTGCTCCTGCTGGGGCCCCATCTGCTGCTGCAATGGCCCTTCCTGCTCCTCCGCGGACCCCATCGGCTGCTGCACGGACACCGCCTGTTGTGGCTGGGGCCCCGTTGCTTGCATCAACTCGTCTATCTGCTGCCCCAGGAGAACCGTCGTACCCAGGTAGTGTCCCATCGTCTGCAGCATGGGCCCAACTTGCGCTTGCAAGTCCAGCGCCCTCTGGAGAAAATCCTCCATATCCTCCTGAGACTGCGCTTGCTGCATCTGAAGTAGCCATTCCCCTGCCTGCTGCTGCAAGGGCCACGCCTGCCCCTGCAGATCCTCTATCTGCTGCAGGAAAGCATCCATCTGCCCCTGCAAGTCATTCAGCTGCAACTGCAACGGATCCACCGGATCATTTACGTCGTCCTGCTGCTGCGGCTGCAAGTCCCCAATCTCTTCTGAATAGTCGGGGTCCTGAGCATCTGTCTCCTGTGGACCTGAGCTCGTATCTTGTGCCCCTTCAGGAGCGGTGGAGGCTGCCTCATCGTCTTGGGACGTCTGTTGCTGCGTGGGTATTTGTACGTGGCCTTTTGAGGACGAAGTGTCGGGCCCCACACGTGTTGGTGTTGCGGCATCGGGATCGGGATCGGAATCGGAATCAATTTGTGCGGTATCAAATCCCCCTTCTGAGGGGTCACCCTCGGTATACATGCCTTCCGGATGACCCATGTAGTCCGAAGCAATCGCCTGCAGCTCCTTGCGTACAGTTGAAGTGGGTGTGGACAGGGGACCGTCTAACTTCACTGATTCTTTATTGGTAAACAGCAGCCCTGGGGCCACCTGTTTCTCGACCGAGAGGAGCCACTGCATGTCATAGGAATGCCCAAGCATCTGCTTCTTCCGTTTGACAATAATCTGCTCGAGAGCTCCAAAGTCCCGCCCCAGGGCCTCCTCGAGGTCCTTTATTCTTTCCGCCGCCGCCGCTGCTGCTGCTGCTGCTGCCGCGAATACGTCCATGATCTCTTCAGTGACAGACTCGCCCATGGCTTCTGCTGCTGCTGCGGCTGCTGCTGCTGCTGCTGCTGTTGCTTCTGCTGCTGATTGCGCACGCTGTTGCATCTTCAACATCATCCCATGCCCTTCTATATTTTTCAATATATTTTGCACGCAGCCAACGGATAGCGTAGAAGCACTAAACATAGCGTCTACCAATGCATACCTACACTGAGCAGGTAGACGGGGTGGTCTGGGGAATTGAGAGGCACGCCCTAAGAGATTGCACATTTGCTGTATCGCTTGGTGGTCTCTGGGACTCGTGACAGCAAGTTGCGGCATGTCTATAGATTGTCCGACTATCTGACTGAAGGTTTGAAGCCACCCCGAGGCCCAATGGCGTTCGAAGCCCTTGGAAATGCTTCCAACAGCTGCCAGCTCCATCCCAAGAAAAAGCCCTACATCCAGAAGTAGACGAGGTCCCCACGGACAACCTAGCATTCTTGCAGTAGCCCCTGCTGACTGTGCTGTCTCCCTCACTAAAAACATTAGATCAGGCGGCACAGGGATACTTCTGTCGTCCATGCGCAGCGCCGCACGATGGCGAGCAGCGCCCAAACGACTAACGCGAGACCCCCCACGGCGCCCATATGATGGCCCCTGATAGCCCTGATGTCCTCGATGGCCTCGCGAATGTCTGCCTCGATGACGATGGCCATAACTACTACCTCCTGCAGCCTGTTCAGCAGAGCCACTTGCTCCAGAAGGAGCCGCCCCTTCATCCCACCCCTGGCCATCATACCCATCACCTCCTTCTTGGTCTCCGTATGAAGAATCTCCTGCTCCTCCGCATGCACCATTGTAAGGGTCTGGTGCCTCAGCAAGAACTCTTCTTTGTAGGCCTTGTTTTGATGAGCTTATAAAACGCGAGCAACGAAGAACCAGCAGCAGCAGCGCCAGAGCAGCAGCAACAGTAGAAACCCAAACAAACTTACTAGAAGAAGACCGAAGGGGTGCATGCCCTACACGTTTCCCTTCAAATGCATGCGCCACCAACGCTCCAACTTCCGATCCTGCTGCTCCTTCTCCTGCGCCTGCAGCTGCTGCTGTTGTTGCAGCTGCTGCTGTTGTTGCAGCTGCAACTGCTGCAGCTCCCTCCTGTCTGGCTTCTGCTGCCTCATTTATTCCTCCGACAAAGAAAAGAGGCCCCATGGAGTGAAGAAGGAGACAGGTGGAGGGGTATTATGATAAAAATGGGGACAGCAGGGGTCTGTCTCCCTGTCGCGGCAGCAACTGCTGCCGTGTTCTGCTGCTGCTGCGCAAGAAGGTGCTGCAGCAATAATCAGAAAACAATAAAGACCTCCTTTTGTTATCTGTCTCCGCTACTGCAAAGAAATATAATGATAGAGAGACGACGAAGGCAGATACAGGGGCCTCCTTCTGTTAGGGGGGGCCCCAGGACGGAGCGCATCAGCGAGTGGATAGGCGCGAGGAGGCAGCACCTGCAACAGCAGCAGCAGCACCAAATACAGCAGCAAAACAACGGGTTTTAGACACAAGAGTGTAATGTAACAACTTCCTTTATTTTTTCTGCTGCGGCAGCCACCGCTCGTGCTGCCACTAGTTCTGGTCGCTCCCGCTCCCGCTCCCGCTATTGCCGCTGCTGCTGCTGTCGGCCCGATGGCCCCACACCGTGCGTACTCTTCTGCGGGGTAGCAGGCAGAGCTATTAGCACTTCTATTAGCAATTGATAGAAAAAAGAGCAAGCATATGGAGACAGCTACGCTCCAACAAATATTGCAGCAGCCACAAATTACTCAGCTCCTCATGTTGGGGACTGTCTCCTCCGTCCCCTCCGCCTCCTCCGTCCCCCGTGCATCCTCCTTCTGCCTCTTCTATCTCTTATCCTCATTCTCTCTGTCTCCTCTGTCTCCTTTTCCCTTAATCTCCTCTCTTTCCCTTGTCTCCTTCGGAAATCGTGAGAAACTACTCCCGAAGGAGACTGCCTAACGTACAAGCCAAATGGCTGCGAGGAACCTAAGCCGAGACGCTTAATGTAAGTGTATCGTAAACTATAATAGCAGCAATTCTGTTGCTGGGCCTCCGGGTGACAGCACACCCCAAAATACCCCAAAGAGGGAGAAAGAAATAACACAGGCCTGCGCAGGCCTGCGACGTTTTCAGTGCACGGGGCTATGAAAGAAGCAGAAAACACAACGAGCACGTGACAGCTTGGCAGCTTTATTGTCTCCTAGAAATTGTCTCCTGCAAACTGTCTCCTAGATAGTGTCTTTTACAAACTGTCTCCCGCGGACTGTCTCGTGGAGACTGCCTCCGGGAAGCTGTGTGCTCGAGGTGGTCTCCTTAGAATGCCTCCCAGAAACTGTCCCCTGGAGACTGTCTCCTAGTAACTGTCTCCTTGCGAGTCTCTCCCTTACACTGTCTCCTCAGGAGGCTGTCTTCTCGGAGCTGTTCCCTGGAAACGGTCTCTTGGAGACTGTCTCCTGGAAAATGTTTCCTAGGGATTGTTTCATAGAAACTGTCTCCTGGGGACTGTCTCAGAGTAGCTGTCGCCCAAAAACTGTCTCTTGGAGACTGTCTCCTAAGAGCTGTCTCCTAGAAGCTGCCTCCTGAGGACTGTCCCCTAGTAACTGCCTCTAAAGCACTGGCAGCTAGAAACTGTCTCGTGGCGACTCTCTCTAAGAAACGGTCCCCTCAGCAAACTGTTTCCTGGAGACTGTCTCCAGGAAACTGTCTCCTAGAAATTGTCTCCTGCAGACTGTCTCCTAAAAAGTGTCTCCTACAAACTATCTCGTGGAGACTGTCTCCTGGAGGCTGTGTGATGGAGGTGGTCTCCTTAGAATGTCTCCCAGAAACTGTCCCCTGGAGACTGTCCCCTAGCAACTGTCTCCTTGCGAGTCTCTCCCTTACACTGTCTCCTCAGGAGGCTGTCTCCTAGTAACTGTCTCCTGGAGAATATCTGGTAGAAAATCTCTCTTGGGAGCTCTTGGAAACTGTTTCCTTGAGAATGTCTTCGCGAAACTGTCTCCACAAGAGCCCGCGCCCTGGAAACTGTCTCTTGGTGAATGCCGCCTAGAAACTGCCCCCCACAAACTGTCTCCTAGACACTGTCTCCCACAAACTGTCCCCCACAAACTGTCGCCTGCAGACTGTCTCCTAGCAACTGTCCCCCGGAGACTGTCTCCCAGTGACTGTCTCCTGGAAACTGGCTCCTGGTGAGACGGTCTTGGAAGGTGCCTCCTGAAGACCGTCTCCTGGAAACTGTCACCTGCAGACTGTCTCCTAGTAGCTGTTTCCTGGAGACTGTCTGTTAGAAACTCTCTCCTGGCGATTCTCGCCAAGAAACTGTCTCCTCAGTAGACTGTGTTCTGGAGACTGTCTCCCGGTGAATATCTCCTAGAAACTATCTCCTGGAGACTGTCTCCCACAAGCTGTCTCCTGGAGACTGTCTCCTAGGAAGTGTGCCCCGGGCACTGTTTCCCAGGAACTCTGTCGTGGAGACTGTCTCCTGGTGAGTGTTTTTCGGAGATTGCCTCCTAGTAACTGCCTCCTGAAGATTGTCTCCCGGAGACTGTCTCCTGGGGATTGTCTCCTAGAAACTGTCCCCTGGCGAGTCAGTCCTCGGAACTGTCTGCTGGAGGCTCTCCTGCACACTTTCTCCCAGCAACTGTATAGTAGAATCTGCCTCCCTAGGAGACAGTAGGAGACAATCTCCACGAGGCAGTATCCTGGAGACTGTCCCCTGGAAACTGTCTCGTCGAAACTGCCTCCTAGGAACTGTCTCCCGCAGACTGTCTCCCAAAAGCTGTCCCCTGGAGACTGTCTCCTAGTCAATCTGTCCCGGGGACCGCCTCGTGGAAACTGTCTCCTGGAAACTGTCTCCTAGAAGCTGTCCCCTAGAGACCGTCTCCTGCAGGCTGTGTTTTAGTAACTGTCTTCTAGAAACTGTCTCCTGAGGAGACTCTCTTTCGGAGGCTGTCTCCTGCAGTATGCCTCCTGGATACTGTCTCCTGGAGACTGTGTCTCGGATACTGTCTCCTGCAGACTATTTCCCAGGAACTGTCTCCTGGAGACTGTCTCCCCATAACTGTCTCCTCAACAGGCTTTCTGCTACAAAGTGTCAACTGGCGACTGTGTCCTAGAGTATGTCCGGGAAACTCTCTTAGGGACTCTCTCCTAGGAAGTGCCTCCAAGAGACTGTGTCTCCTAGGTAACTGTCAACTGCCGAAACTCTCCCAGCACTATTTCGTAGAAACTGTCTCCTGGAGATTGTAGCCTAGTAGCTGTCTCCCGGGGACTGTCTCCTAGAAACTGTCTAGTGGTGAGTGTCTCCTGGAAACCGTCTCCTAGAAACTGACTCCTGGAGAGCGTCTCCTAGCAACTGTCCCCGGGAGACTGTCTCCTTAGGAAACTATCTCCTAGAAACTGTCCCCTGGACATGTCTGCTGGAGATTGCGTCCTAGAAACTCTCTCGTGGAGACTGGCCTTCAGGAACTATCAACTGGCGACTCTCTCCTAGATACTGTCTCCTGGAGACTGTCTCCTAGAGACGGTCTCCTGCATACTGTATCCTAGAAAGTGTCAGCTGGATTCTGCCTCCTGGAGTATGTCTCCTGGAAACTCTCTTGGAGACTGTGCCCTGGACACCTGTTGGCTGCAGTGTATGCACAGGGACTGTCTCTTACAAATTGTCTCCTAGGGAGCGTCTCCCCTGTCCACTCTCGTTGTTAATGTTTCCTAGGGGACATCTTCTAGCTTCCTACAAGGTGTTCCTCCCTGTTTGTCTATTCAGGAGTATATCCTGGGATCTGTCTCCTTTTAATTAGTTGTCTCCTAGATGCTGTAGTCCCCTAGTGGTTGGTGGCTCTCTGCCTCTGTGTACTGAGGAGACAGTCTCCTAGAGGCTGCCTCCTGGAGGCTCTCTCTTTTTCAAATGGAAAATGTTCAAAGAATAACATATGCCAGCATAGGTTGCCTCTGGAGGGACTGTCTCCGTCTCTAGACTGTCTCTTGGAGGCTTAGAAAGGCCCACAAGTATGGGGACGCAAGAAACTATACACTCAACCACTTGCGCAGCCACTGACACCGGCTAGCGAGCGGCAGCTAGCCAGCTAGCGAGGGATAGCCAGCTAGCTACAGCTAGTAGCCAGCCAGTGGCAGCTCAAGAGACAGACAGTAGCCAACCAGTGACAGCTAGCTAGCTAGAGACAGCTAGTCAGCCAGTGACAGCTAGCTAGCTAGCCAGAGACAGCAGGCCAGCTAGTGGCATCTATCCAGCTAGCTAGCTGTCTAGCTGCTGAGCTAGCTAGCCCAGCTACCGGTGGTTGCAGGTAGCCAGTGCTCCTCACAGCTAAGCATGGCTAGGCTGAGCTAGCTGCAACTTATGGCTGCAGGCTAGGGTTTAGGGTTTCGGTGGTTTCGCAGTCCTCTTCCAGGCAACCAGGGGGCCTTATGCTCAGCCTGCCAAGGCCCCGTAGGCGCCTCAGGGCCTCCGAAAGCCGCCCCACAGTGTAAGAAATATCTGCTGCTGGCTGTGCAACAGCAGCATCTGCTGCTGCTGCTAACTGCAGCAAATCAAAGAAAAGCCTCTCCTGCAGCTCATTAGCAGCTGCGGCATCTCTTATCCACACGCACCCCTGCAAAAGCAGCAGCAAAGGCAGCAGCGGCAGCAAAGATAACGGCAGCAGCAGGAGCAAAGGCAACAGCAGCAGCAGCAGCAGCAGCAAAGGCAGCAAAGACAATGAGCTGGGCAATTGGAAATGACCCGAGCACTGATTCCTTTCTCTCTACAGTGCTGTTGCGGCAGCAAGTTGAGTACAGACAACAAAGCTCCTATGCCCCCCTTGAGCTGCAAACTCAAACCCCTAAACCCTAAACCCTAAACCCTAGATGCAAGCCTTACCTCATCGTCTTCTTCGTCAATTGGGCGCTGCATGGAAATACTGCAAAAAGCCGCCGAAGCCCTTGCAATAACCCCTGCAAATCCAGCATCTCCGCATTCACGGTTTAGGGTTTAGGGTTTAGGGTTTAGGGTTTGGTGTCTACGGCAAAGTGCTTTACCTCCCGGGTAACAAGACTCACTCTGAGGCAGAAGGTCTGCATGCACAACGCTGAGGCTGGGAGGGTCTCCTTGTAACCCTGCAGCAGCGCCCAAGGCACCAAACCCTAAACCCTAAACCCTAAACCCAAAACCCTAAACCCTGCACCCTATACCCTAAACCATAGAGGGAACTGATACCCCTACCTCACCTGGTCTGAGTGTGAAAAGGGGCACAAGCCGGCAGAGACTCCCTCGAGGGGCCCCTGCTGCAGCAGAAGCAGCAGTTTGCTGCTGCTGCCTTGCAGCAGCAAGGTGCTGCAGCAGCACCAAACCTGTCTGGCAGTTCAGAGCCTCCAGTCGGTGTACCAGCACAGGGTGTGCGGAGCTCACTGTCCAGATGCCCTAAGGACGCACAATTTAGGGTTTAGGGTTTATGGTTTAGGATTTGGAGTTTGATGTTTAGGGTTTAGGGTTTGGGGTGTAGGGTTTACGCTCGTGAGTGGGCTACGCGGTTTCGGCTTGTTTGCTTGTGAAACAGGACCAGCCCAGCAGAGCTAGGGTTTCGCTATTAGGGTTTAGGGTTTATGGTTGGGCGATTAAGGCTTATGGTTTATGGTTGAGGGTTTATGGTTTATGGTTTATGGTTGAGGCCTTAGGGTTGAGGGTTTAGGGTTTAGGGTTTAGGGTTTACCTGTAGACATTTTGAATGAAGGACACACATTTTCAGCGCCCCGTACAATAGCGCCTGCCCATCCGCTGCGGAGCCAAAACCGTAAACCCTATATCCCAAACCCTAAACCCTAAACCCTAAACCCTAGACGGTAGCTCTCGATGTCTACGCAGTGGCAGCAGGGAAACAAGGGTTTAGGGTTTGTGCTCTGCTAAGTGCTTTCTTACGATGTCTTGTGCCGGCCCCCTGAAGTAATCACCCCACACAGCAAACTCTAAACCCTAAACCCTAAACCCTAAACCCTAAACCCGAAGCTTTAGCTATTGAATCTGGGTCGGGGGCCATACAAACAGACTCACAAAATCATCCAGAAGTAGCAAGGTGTTTTCAGAGCCGTCTCTGCAAGTACCCACAGCCGTGCCTGTTTAGGGTTTAGGGTTTAGGGTCTACGGCTGCTTAAAGGTGCTGCAAGTCAAGGTAGCTGACATCCACCGCGAAGCCACAACGCTCGATATGACAGCAGCAGCAGCAGCTGGTGCTGCTGCTACTGTAGAAGCAGCACCAGCACCGCCATCACCACTCTCACCAGCATCAGCCGCAATAGCAGAAAATGTAACAGCAGCAGTGGAAGCAGTAGCAGCAATAGCACCAATAGCAGCAGCAGCACCGGCGGCAGCAGTAGCACCAGCAGCAGCAGCAGCAGCAGCAGCAGCAACAGCACTGCGGCGTCACTTGAGGATTTGGTTGAGGCGGAAGAGTTCGCAGTGGAAACTTGAGAGGGTTGGCACTGCTCCTTCGCAAGCTGCACACAAACCCTAAACCATAAACCCTAAACCCTAAACCCTAAGCCCCCAATGTTGTCGAGATGTGCGGCTGCTCCCCGCCACACTCTTCAAGAGCCTGGCTAGGGTACGAGTCTGAGTTCTAGCATACAGAGGTTGCAGGATGAGGGTTTAGGGCTAAGCTATAGGTTTTAGGGTTTAGGGTTTAGGGTTTAGGGTTTGTACAGGAGGAGGTCCAGCATATCTTGCGGATCTGCCCAAAGGCAGCGAAGGCTGCCGGAACCCTCGACCCGATGTGCGCCAGGTGTACAGCCACTCCGATGACGCGCAGCAAGGCTGCAGGAGCAGCAACAGCAGCAGCAACAGCAGCAGCAGCTCGGAATGGACCCCATGAAGCAGCAGCAGCGGCTGGACGGACACCGGCCGCATCTTCCGATTAGGAACAGCAAGTCAGCAGCAGCAGCAGCAGCAGCAACAGCAGGTGCGGCTGCTGCTGATGCATGCTGCAGTGTCTGTCTTACTTGACTTCCCGCAGCCGTTGTGTCCTGATTCAGTCAGCAGCAGACGCATCCGAAAAGCCCAATATAAGGGATCGGGGATAGGGTTTAGCGCTTAGGGTTTAGGGTTTAGGGTTTAGGTCTGTGCTGAAAGACTTGTCGAAGAAAACAGCATGTGGCGCTTACCGGATATCACGGCAGACTGCAAACCAGTGAAGCAGCAGGCGCAACAGCAAGCAGAGTTTGCCCTTTCCAAAGGGTTTAGGGTTTAGGGTTTAGGGATTAGGGTTTACAGCATCCCGTGCCTGAGTTCCCTTTTATATAAGCTCTTTGCAATGAAGGGCTGAGGCCAGGGGTTGAAATGGAGCACTGCGGTTGAGAACTACGTCAACGGGGGAAACAATTAGGGTTTAGGGTTTAGGGTTTAGGGTTTAATGCGTCACTTGTCTGTGTAGAAGTCTGAAAGAAAAAGGCATAAACCCTTCAGAGCCGCTCGTAGCCATTTGACATCGGCGAAGTTGGATGAGGGGCCCCCCAGTAAACACTGGGATACTCCACGAGGGGTCTTCCTGCAGCATCACACCCAGAAA